ATTACCCATTCTAAAGTTCTTATGGATTTCAACAGATGCTGAATAGTCAAAACAGTCTTAAAAAAGAGGAACAAAATTGAAGGACTCACACTTTTGGATTTCAAAACTTACTGTGAAGCAACTGTAATCAAGACATTGTGGGAGAAAAAAAAAAGACATTGTGATACTAGCATAAGAACGAACAGAGATCAGTGGGAGAGAAGTGAGAGTCCAGAAATAAACCCATGACTCTATGGGCAGCTAATTTGACAAGGATGTCAGGAACATTCAATGAGGAAAGACTGATTTCTTTTTTTTTTATCTGGAGAAGGTAATTACCTTTATTTATTTATTCTTAGAGGAGGTATTGGGGATTGAACCCAGGACCTCATCCATGCTAAGCATGTGCTCTAACACTTGAGCTATACCCTCCCCCTGTAGGAAAGACTGATCTTTTTAACAAATGGCACTGAGACACTTGGATACCCAAATACAGATGAATGAAGTTGGACCCTTATTTCAGACCATATATAAGAATTAACTTAAATGGGTCAGTTTCCTAAATCTAAGAGCTAAAAGTATAAAACTCTTAGAATTAAAATACAGAAGTTAATCCTCATGACCTATAATCTGGCAATTTATTCTTAGATATGACACCAAAAGCAAGTGCAAGAAAAGAAAACATGATAAACTGGATTTCATCAAAACTGAAAACTTTTGTGCATCAAAAGATGTTATCAAAAAGATGAAAATACAACATACAAAATGGGAGAAAATGTTTGCAAACTATATATGATAATGATCTAGCATCCAGGATATATAGAGAGTTCCTACAACTCAGGAACAAAAAGACAACACAAGTTAAAAAATGGGGAAAAGACTTGAATAGCCATTTCTACAAAGAAGATATACACAGTACATGAAAAAATGCTCATTATCATTATATATTGGTGAAATGCAAAAAGACAACAATCAAAAACTAGGCAAAAAATGTGAATAGACAGTTCTCCAAAGAAGCTATACAAATGACCAACAAGCATGTGAAAAGATGCTCAAAATCATCCATAATTAAAGAAATGTAGGGGAGGGTATGGCTCAGTGGTGGAATGTGTGCCTAACAGGCATGGGTCCTGGGTTCAATCCTCAGTGCTTCCATTAAAATAAACAAACAAAACCTAATCTCCCCGCAAATGCAGTACTGTATGTCAATTATATCTAAATGAAACTGGAAGGAAAATAAAGTTTTTAAAAATAAATGCAAATCAAAAGCATAATGAGGTACCACTTCACATCCACTGGTATGGCTCTAATAAGAAGAAAAAATAAAACTGGTTGCTGAGAATGTTAACAAATAAGAACTCTCATACATTGCTGATGGGAATGTAATATGGTACAGTCAGTGTGGAAAACAGTTTGGCAGTTCCTCCAAAGGTTAAACATATAATTACCGTATGATCCAGCAATCTACCTGGGTATATATGCAAAAAAATTGAAAAACTGTATGTAAACAAATTTGTGTACCAAAATGTTCATTGCAGCATCATTCATAGTAGCCAAAAAGTTTCCACCAACAGATGAATGAATGAACAAAATGTAGTTTATACACACAATGGAGTGCTATACAGCCATAAATAGCAATGAAGTACTGACACATGCTATAACATAGACGAACCTTGAAAACATTACGCTAAGTGAAATAAGCCAGACACACAAAAACAAAATTGTATGATCCCACTTAAATTAAGTATGTAGAATAGGCAAATGTACAGAGACAGCAAGTAGATTACACTTTCACAGGCTCTAGGGGGAGGGGATTGGAGAGTATTTGCTCAAGGGGTACAGAGTTTCTGTTTGGGATGATGAAAAAATTTGGAAATTGTAGTGATGGTTGCACAATATTGTGAATGTAATTAATGCCACTGTACAGTACACTTAAAAATGATAAAATGGCAGGGAGGGTATAGGTATAGCTCAGTGGTAGGGTGCATGTTTAACATGCACCAGCTTCTGGGTTTAATCCTTGCAGTGTCCAGCGCAGCTCGGCATCATGTCTGAGGACCAGTGATGCAAGACTTAAGAAACAAAGAGACAAAGTAAAGAGCGAAGATGGGACAAGGGGATTCAAGATCTCATGGATCTAGAGCCCTGAAAGCCTGGTCAACATCATATTTATTGGGAGTATATAGCTCAGAAAAATATGCGATCAAAAAGGTGGGGCCTTTTTTTTTTTTGAAGTGGGGCTTTAGATATTCCACACGATAAAGCACTAAATTCTGCTTGCTGGTTAACTGATTAATTTCAGGCCCATCCCTTCCAGGAACAATCACCCTCCTGTGGGTATGCAAAATTTCTGAGTCTATCCTCTCATTGCCTCTGGGACATCTCAAGATAGCAAGTACTTCCCCTGGCTCAACAGCATGCTTTCACGCCAGAACAAAGTTCTGTTATTGGATCTTCTGGCTTTCCAAGACCATCCATTGTTTCACCCTAAGGAAATATCTGCCCTCCTTCAAGCCCTTATGGTTAATGTCAGGATTGCTCATCACAAATTTTCTTTTTCTTTTCTTTTTTCTTTTTTCTTTTTGTGAAGTGGAAGTTGTTTTATTTTAATACTAGGAAGAAAGAGGTACAGCAAGTGATTATCACAATTCTGAGACATTCTAACAGCTGACGTATTTTGAAGGTTTATTATAAGAAAATGATTACTTTTAACCACAAATTTTCTTTAGCATAATATGTGCTATAGATCGTCTACTGTGCAAAATATTAGAACAAAGCAAGCATGTGTATTTTAAGTAAGCAAGTGTGAATATAATATTTTAAGCTCATGGAAATTTAGGAGCAGCTTGTTTTCTAGTTCCTTGTTTTCCAGCAGCTTGTTTCCCAGCAAATCCCCAGTACCTCCATTAAAAAAAAAAGAATAAATTGCAAAAAAAGATTAAATGGCAAATTTATTATATATATATTTTAGCAGAATAAAGAAGAGATATATATAGCTTATTCCCATCTGCATACAGTCATGCTATTCCCTCATCTTAATGAACATGACATTATACTCAATAGTAAAAGACTGAAAACTTTCTAAGATCAGGAATAAGACAAGGATACCCACTTTTGCCACTTCTATTTAACATAGTACTGGCTATCCTAGCCAAAGAAGTTAGGCAGGAAAAAGAAATAAAAGGCATCCAACTCAAAGGAAGAAGTAAAATTATCTTTGCTCACAGATGACATGATCTTATATGTAGAAAATCCCCAAAATTCCACAGACCCAAAAACTGTTAGAACTGATAAATGAATTCAGCAAAGCTAAAGGATACAAAATTGACAAACAAAATCCAATGAGTTTTGTAAAGAACAAAGCAAACAAACAAACAAAACCCCATAAACAGAAACCTCAATTAATTAAATAGAGTTGGGAGACCAGAAAGGAGAGCTTTCATGCCCTGAGAACCTAGCAGAGCCCAAGAGTAAGAAGAAAGATTCCTTTTTCACTGGCAAAGACCAGCCAGTAAGAAGCCACAGACTCTGTTTATTATACCCTCCCAACTTCCTTTTTCTCTGTGTAGAAACATCCTTCTTCCTTTGCCGTACAGGAACTTGTGTGTGGCTCACTGTGGTTGCAGACCTTGAACTGCAACTATCTGCCAATCCCAAAGATACTTATCTTTGCAGGACAAATATCAAGCAGTCTATTTGTTTCAGGTCAGAAATTTCCCTATATGAACAATAAACAATCTGGAAAGGAAATTAAGAAAAACAATTCCATTTACAACAGCATTGAAAAGAATAAAATACTTAGGAATTAACCAAAGAGATGAAAGACTTGTATAATGGAAACCACAAAACATTGCTGAAAGAATTGAAGAAGACACAGATAAATGGAAAATCATCCCATGTTCATGGGTTGGAAGACTTAATATTGTTAGGGTAGCAACACTCCCCTGAGAAATCTACAGATTTAATGAAATCCCTATCAAAATCCAATGGCATTTTTTGCAGAAAGAAAAATCCATCCTAAGATTCATATGGAATCTTAAGGGACCCCCAATAGCCAAAACAATCTTGAAAATAAAAAGAATAAAGTTGGAGATCTCACACTTTCTGATTTCGTAACTTATTACAAAGCTTTTGTAATCACAACAGTGTAGTACTGGCAAAAAGAGATTTATATTAACCAATAGAATTGAATAGAGTCCAGATATAAAACCTCACATATATGGTCAAATGATTTTTGACAAAGGTACCAACACCATTCAATGTCTTTTCAAACAACGGCATCTGGGAAACTGTCTATCCACATGCAAAAATGTGGGAGGTGGAGATATTGAATGATATTTTCCAAACTGATAAAGAACTTTGAGACTGAAAAATGAAGCAAACAACTCCAAGCAAGCAATCTTGAAGTTTATTGTGGGTACTTACTTACAGCCGCATTACTTACATAATCACAGCTGCACTCTGCAAAGGGGTACCCGGGATTTAAATGGGCCAAAGCTAAAAATAGAATTTGACTACCAAGTAAGAAGCACATCTGCATTCAAGGGAACCGGGGCTTTTTCCTCCATGGGGCTCTCATGATCATTAAAACACTGTGTCAGCAAAAGGCATTTTTCCAGTTTTCACCACAGATGAAGGCAAGAGTAAAAGTTGATAGGAAAGCCATTTGGCTTGGTCTCACTCTTTGCAGCTGGACTAAAGCTCCTGCAGAAAGAGGAGGGCGCAGAACTGCGGGCCTAAGGTGGAGCTGACAAAATGGAGTCAGTGTGGTTCAGCCACACAGATTGACAGTTTATTTAGCTATCCCTATGATTCCTTGAATCTGTGGTCTGATGGCCTGTATAACTCTCCCATCAATGTTCCTTTGCATTCCCCATTCCTATCTGTGTGGTTTTGGACACTGGAGGGAGGCAGTCTGGAGGGCTGTGTTTACCTGCCTCCTCCCACTCCTCTTGAGGTCCCCCTTGAGGCAGATATCTCCACCTCTGATAAATGTGGCTGCCTCCCTGATGCAATGAAGAAGGGACCCTTGGAAGGAACATTGCCTCTTGGCTGATGTCCTGGGTCTCTGAGACAAGAGACAATGTGTTTCAGAGGACATACATTGTTAATTGTTCTGTGAAGGGTCCAAGGAGCTGTGAAGGGTCTAAGATATTATCCTATTTGCAAATCAAAGAGCCAGCCTGAAACAATTTTATTCACATATACTAACTTATTCATAAGATCCCTGGTTCAGAGACAGACTGTTAAATGACAGAATCTTGCATCAGTTCCCCATCCTCAAATTCCCCATTAGATGACACAGTGAAAGTCAGCGTAGCTGTATGTGCAAAGGGACTTTACACTACAGGAGAGGAATCCTGAAATTATAAAACTCAGAGTTTATGTAGAACAAGTGGCATAGTTGTATCTCCTCCCTAGGGGACGGGGGAAAGAAAGAATAAGCAAGTGGCTCTGGGTTTTATTACCTTGGAAAAGGAGCAGCTGGCTCTTAGAAAGCGCACTGGAGAGGAGACATTCTGTATCATCCTAGGAATGTTTATGATTCAGACATCTTAACAAAGGTGCCAGTAATCTGCTTAGAAAGCCCCCACTGAACAGAAACCCTTGGTCCTCCCACGCAGCCCTAGACAGGCAACATTTCCCTGCCCCTTCTGCCTCTGCAGTTCTTTTCTAAGTTAGGGCAGGTATGGTTTCTAGGGAGTTAGTCTGAAGAAAGTTTAAGTGTAACGGAGTTCCTATACAGCAATGTGCCCAGCACATAGCAGACACCCAGTAAATACGTGTTGAGTGAATGACACGGACCATTGTTTAAGATTTTAATGAAGTTGGGGGTAGAGGGTGGGTTGGTTGAGACGTCCTGACGAGGCTCCCCAGAAGCCAGGGCACTCTGAGGCCAGTGGATTGTTCTCCCCTGGGCTTCAGGCATAGCCCCGGGCTCCTTGAAGCAGCGCCAGAGTTCCAGACACGCCCACGGTCAAGGCGGAACGCGCACAGGCTGGGACCACCCCAGAGAGCGTCGGGTCTTCTTGGTGCTTGAGGGCTCCAGGGTCCAGAAAGGGATTCCCATCCAGTGTCAGGTTACTCACCTCTGGCAGTTCGTCTGGCCGTGGCGCTCTGTTCAGCCTGTTGCAGCTGAGATCAAGCACGCTGAGTTTGGGCGGCAGTCCTTTAGGCACTTGCTCCAGCCCAGCGAACGACAAATTGAGAGAGCTCAGTGTGCGGGGCCAGACACACCTGGGATCGCCTGAGGCGGCGGCGCGCAGCGAGTTGTGACTGAGGTCCAGACGGTGCGGTTGCACACCCGCCGCCGCCAGCGCTGCGCACACTCCGCTGGGCGTCTCCATCCCCGCGTTGCGTAGCGCTAGATCCTGGAGGGCCGGGAACTTGTGAGGACAGAGAGCCGTAGTCAGCCCGCGCTCGCTCAGTCCAGGATTGTCAGACAGGTCAAGGGTGGTAAGGGTCGGGAAGGTGCGGAGCTGTGCGCAGGCGAAAGCAAGAGGATGTGTTAGCGCAATGTTCAGTACCCTGAGGCCTGGCTTGAGCCACTGCTGCAGTTTGCCGAGCCACGCACCTCCTGTTGCCCAGGACACGTTATGGATTCTGAGGGTAGAGAGTGCTGGCCCAGGGTCTTTCACAGGCGGCGGCGGCAGCAGGCTGGTTACCTCCAGGTCCTCCAGCGTCAGTTCCTTTAGGCGTGAATACCCGAGCACATGCAGGACGGCGACCAGAAGCTGAGAGGGAACCTGTGCAGCGCCCACCGTGAGCCGCCGCAATCGCAGAGCCCTGACCATGTCAGCATACTGCTCCGGGTCGGCGTTGGCTTTCTTTAGAAACTGTTCCAGGCTGCGGCCGCCTCCACGGATCTCCACCTCGACGGCAACCGTACACTGCAAGGCGCTGGACCAGTCAGGCTCCGGATCCGTGAAGTTGCAGACGCAGCGGAAATCTTCTTCGTCCAGTTGGCAGGGTTCCAGTTCGTCCGCAGACACGCGCAGCAGTGGCAGCAGCAGCAGCAGGTAGGGCACAGGCGCCTAGGAAGACGGGGGAGGTTAAGGAGGCCCCTGCTGCCCCTGAGGTTTCCCGAGTAGACCCTATTCGGCCCCAAGAACATACACTTACCATGGTCGATGGGTCCTCAGAGCCTCTGGGTCTCCGGCTGGCTGGCTGGCTCTCGGAAGGGCTGTAACTTCTTTCCTGTCTGGCGACACTCGCCGGCTTCCAGTCTCCACAAACGTCCTAAATCTTTGGCAACCTCGGAGAGTTTATATAACCCTGAGATGTCACTTTGTTCCCTCTTTGAACCCTGTCACTCTCCACTTCTCTTTCTCCCAACCACCCCATTCAGTACTATTCCAGGAAATTTTGCAATGAAGCATGTTGCCAGGAGAGGGGCCATAACAGGAAGGATCTTGCAAGGATCTTGTGGCAGGCTTCGCCCTGATGACTCAGGCGCCCCCAGACTTGTCTGGGATGGAGAAAGGATCCCCAGTGCCTCAGGCTGGGACTCTCACCTCCCCTGCCTATATCCCTGACTCAACTGGTAGTTTCCTTGACTTTTCCCTAGTCTTGGTGGTTACTATTGCCCTCCTGTCACCCAAGTCCTCTGATATTTAACTGGATATTTTGTGGAAGAGATTACAAACTTCATCTATTGACTCGAAGGGCTAGAATTAGGTTTAAGAGAAGGAAGTTCTGAAGAACAACTCCCCACTCACAACCCCCTTTTTAACTGACAGCTGGCAGTTCTTAAAATTTGTTTATTAAGAAAGTAACAGCTTTTTAAAAATTGAAGTATAGTTGATGTACAATATTACATAAATTACAGATCTATAATATAGTGATTTACAACTTTAAAGTAATAGCTTTCTTAAAAGTAGAAGTGTTTAACAGCCTAAATGTCCATCAACAGGTGACTGGATAAAGAAGATGTGGTATATTTATACAATGGAATACTACTCAGCCATAAAAACCGACAACTTAACGCCATTTGCAGCAACATGGATGCTCCTAGAGAATGTCATTCTAAGTGAAGTAAGCCAGAAAGAGAAAGAAAAATACCATATGAAATCGCTCATATGTGGAATCTAAAAAACAAAAACAAAAACAAACAAACAAACAAAAACAAAGCATAAATACAGGACAGAAATAGACTCATGGACAGAGAATACAGACTTGTGGTTACCAGGGCGGTAGAGGGTGGGAAGGGATAGACTGGGATTTCAAAATTGTAGAATACATAAACAAGATTACACTGTATAGCACAGGGAAATATACACAAAATGTTATGATAAATCACAGAGAAAAAAATGTGACAATGAGTGTATATATGTCCATGAATGACTGAAAAATTGTGCTGAACACTGGAATTTGACACAACATTGTAAAATGATTATAAATCAATAAAAAATGTTAAAAAAAAGATTTTTTTCAGAAAAAAAAAAGTAGAAGTGTTTAACAGAGACACATCGGCTAAGTCACTACCTCTCTTAGAGTTTCCACTTCCCCACCCCGAAATTGAGAAACAAGATGTTTCTGATATAATTTTCTTGCTTGGACCTAGCTCCTCGCCCCCCAGCACAATTCGGACGTCCTACGAAGGAAAGTCTGGACCTATGTTGAATGAGGATTAACTAGTAGCTCACCTGTTTTGTCAAGGGAAAAAAGGAGGTGTCCTAAGAGGGTGGGAAAGTGTTACTGAAGCAGGTTTGCTTGTCCAATGTGCAGTAAGCCAAGTGCTGAGAAGCTAAAGTTTGCAGCAGAGAAAGAGTTTATTCACAAGACATCCAAATGAGGACCAGGGAGAACAAATCTCAGATCTGCCTCCCTGAAGGCGAGGGGCTTCGGATATTTATGAGTGAAGGATATAGGGTGGTTGGAGGTGCAGGGGAAGGTGACCGGAGACAGGAAAAAGATGAGGAAATAAATCATTGCTCACTCAGGTGTGTCTGAGTTACATGCTTCTTCATGGTTCACATTTTTGGAAAACGGTGGCATTAGCATGGGGAGAGTTTTGGCCCTCTGACCCCACACAGGGCCAGTTGGAGGGTGGTGATTCCAACCAGTCTTAATCAGCTGGAATGTGAACTGGACAAGAACTGACTCTTAAGTTCCTGAAAATCAACTTAAACAGCCATTACTATAGCAACCCATATTTCAGAGGGGGTAGTTACTCACTGGGGGGCAGTTAAAGGAGCCTTGTGACATACTGTCTAAGCTACATGAGGGTATGTAAATTTGCAGGAACAATTAAGGTGAGCTTGACTGGTGAAGTCAGGTTACATAGTATTATTTATTAAGCAAGTTACACTTCGAGGGATCTAATTGATGACTGCCCTCAGTTCCAGAAAAGCTATGCTTTTATTTATTTATTTATTTATTTATTTATTTATCTCTTTTTTTCTCCCTTTTAATACCTGAATGTTATCAAAATCACACTTTTTTTTCCCAAAAAGGCTATGCTTTTAAAACAGCCCTCATAAGTCTGAACTTCTGGATTTCTAGGTAAAGGGCTACATCAAAAATTTTTGAATTCTCACTTCCCTATTTTCCAGAAGCAGCTTCACATCTGCCCCCAGTCCAAACAATGAGGCTTCATCAGACCACACTGCCCTCTGTGTGTCCTGTTGGTCATGCTCTTATACCCTAAGCCATGCTTAAAGGCCAGACCAGGTCACTGGGACATCCCTGAGGACCAAGATATGGGTATAGATCAGTGTTAAATACACTAACTCTGCAGTTAGACAACCAGACTTGGAGTCCCAGCTCGACCACTGAGGTTGCAACAATAGCCCTTTATTATTTTCTTCATCAGAGTCTCTGCATTCAGAAGACTCAGGCCACTAAAGCCTGGCTCCTCAGCAAATTCCATCACCTTAGGGAAGACACTCTGGATGAGGGGTCCAAGCTAAAGGGTCAACAATGGTTTTGCAAAGATTTGGACTCACACCTTGATTCAAAAAATATCCATCATTTATCTATAAAAGTGCCAGGGCTGCTGCAAGCCCTGGGGTGCAGACATAACCATCATACACTCCCTCAAGCACTCTAGTAGGTGATGGAGGCAAACATGGACCCAGAACTACAGTCCACAGTGAAGAGGAATCTTACAGAGGGGAAAACAAGGACTTGTAGGAGCTCTAAAGAAAGGAACAGCTAGCCCCAGCTAGGACATGGGGCTGTTTCTTACAGGGTTAACAGTGTTGCCAGGCAGATAAGTTCCAAAAAAACAAAACAAAAACAAAAACCAAACAAACAAATAAAACAGTTTGGGCAGCTGTAACTGAGCAGACACTCAAACAGAGCATAGATTTTTTTCCTGGGGGCTTATCTTCCCCACCAGGAGAAAGATACAGATGTTAAAAGCCAGTCTGTCCCATGAAGGAGGGTACAAGACCCAGATCCTATCCCCAGCCAGAGTATGGTGCATAGCAGATGCTCAGTAATCAGCTGTCCAGAGGTTGGATATGTGCTGGACCTGGAGAGAAGAGGTGATGACAGGATGATGATCTCCATTCTAAAAATTAGAGGTCTCAGTAAAAATTCTTCAGTGCTACCAGGGTTCTACTCTCTTGGAGCTGTGAAGGGGGTTTGGGAGGAGACAATGTCAAACAATTACACTATAACAATGACAGCTGTGAAAAGGGTTATGAAGAAGTGTATGGTGATATACACTCTCATAATTAGGTGCACTGGTCTAGTAGTTCTGAGTAGGGAGGGAACACTGGAGTTGAGATTTTGAGCATGGTGTTAAGAGAAGGATGCTGGTTGTAGTGAGGGTGGGACTGCAGAGACAAGGCTCTAGGCAGTGGAACAGCTTGTGCAAAAGCCTAGAAGAGGAAAAGAGCAGAGCTTGTTTAGGGAACAAAGATCTCAGGAGAGATGAGAAAGGTGAGATTGGAGACGTTAGCAGGGATTAGACCATGCAGGGTTTAGTTGGCCATAATTTGGATTTTGAGGGTAAGGAACACGGTTTTTAATTCACCAGTGTTTCCCCATACCCAGTAGATTAGTGGTGCTTAAAATTTGATGAAAGAATTACTTTGTCCTAAGAATAATGCTATTCACTTTTATGCAGAACAGTGACATTGTTGCCTAATTTTTCTCACCCGTCTAATGGGGATAATTGTCATAGCGAACATTCAATAAGATTATGCGCGTCCAGTGTTTAGCTCTTCACAGCCGTGTTATCGGTGAAACGGCTTCCATTATCTTCCTAGAACTCGGGGTAGTTTTGAATGTTTGTTTAGGAAGTGTTAGGGGTAGGGACGTTATGTTTGCTGGAAGGTGGCGCTAGTGTCCGGGGCCGTCGGGGTCGAGGTTGAGTTATTCTCCTAGATTTGAAGCAGAGAAACCGAAGTGCGGCTGCTCAGAATTCTCTTGGCTTTCCGCCTAGGTCCCACCCTACCTCTAGCCTTCGCGCCGCCCCTCCCGCCCTCGCGCCGCCCCTCCCGCCCTCGCCCTGCCAGTCCTCTGTTCTCGCTCCTCCTCTCTCCTCCTCTGCCTGCCCCACCCTCCCTTGGCCCCGCCCCGCCCCAGCCGGTGGCCGCGCCCCCTCGTCCCGCCCCGCCTTCACTTCACTCCGTGCTCTGCTGGCTGGCACCGCCCCTTCCGCCCTGCGTTGTGGCTGCGCGAGCGCTACAGGCTTCCAGGCCTCTGTTCCCTTTTCCCGGTTCTCAACTTGGTGCAAATTTCCTCCAGCTCCACCATGTGGAGCCGACGGCAGCGCCGCCTCAGGCCGTTGAGCTGCGGGGTGGAGGAGCTACGGTGCCGCCGGCGGGAGCGAGAGGCAGGTGTGGGCGGGTGGGGGAGCACGGGAGAATGGGGGATGGCAGTAGGAGACGAGGTGAGGAAGCCGCCTGGGTCGGAGACTAGTTCTGGGTCCTGGGTGCCCCTCCCACGCTCAGGCGGCTCCTTTGCCCCTAGCACTGCGGAAGGCGCGGAGAGAGCAGCAGCTGGTCAGCAAGAGGCTGCTGAGAGACGAAGACCCGGAGAAAGCTGAAGGATATGTGGCTGTGATCCTTGGAGAAGCCGAGGTGAGGGGGCAGGGTACGTGGTGAGGTCAACACCATCTGGCGGCAAATTCCTTCTCGAGTACTTGAGTTATGCCGCCAGACCTGAACGCGGTCCCTTCAACACCTCCATCTATCTAGTGGGCCAAGCCTGAAACCGGGAATTCATCCGAGATAACTCGTGTCCCTCATCCAACATCATCATCCAGTCCAAGATGGTTTTTGGGTGTTTTGTTTGTTTGTTTTTACCTCCTAAACAGCTGTGGAGTCTTTACGTGCCCTTGCCAATGCAATTGCCA